ATAATTTGAATTTTAGTTGCAATTTCAATTTTAGAATGTGACATGCAGTTCAGTACAATGGTTTAGCATAGTGTTAGACACTGAAGATTGCACTAATAGGTCCCATAAGAAGAATGGAATCAACGATTTTACTGAATTCAATAGGATGACCTATTAGGTAAACTGCAACTATTTAAAGAGGTTGGGTCAGAAAGCGAAATCGCATGAAAAGGAGACTTCACCTTGCTAGGCTGAACTACATTTTTTCTTTAATTTGGCCACATACCTAGAGGCAGTAATGCTTGGTAAGTGAAGAGTCTGCTGTCAAGAAACTTCATAAAGCATCCAGAGGCCAGAAGAATCGCTACAAGCCCAAGGAGCCCATGCAAATCCTGTAACACATAAATACAGGAGCCACATGAGATTTAAATCTTAATTAAAACTCGCATACTGACTGATTTTCTCAAAATTACCTCTATACCTGTAAACTCCTCAAAAGGAGACTTGACCTTGCCAGACTGAACTACATTTTTCTTTAATTTTGCTCACTGCCTAGAGACAGTAATGCTTGGTAAGTGAAGGGTCAGAAGTCAAGAAACTTACAATTTTTACAGTCCAAAAGGTGAATACTGCGACAAGCAGTAAGGCGATCCCAAGGATACCCTGCAGCACATCAGGACAGGAGTCACACGAGATTTAATCCCAACTGAAACTCTCCTACTCTCTGAGATTCTGAAATTTACCTCTATGAATATATGGCGATTTATTATTCACCAAATCCTGTTTAGGAAATTTGACTCTCTCTCTCTCTCTCTCTCTCAGAAAACATTTCAATACATCATTTAGATAAAAATATAATTTCATTTTAACAGTGTCCATAAGAAAAAATGGATACTTCCTGATGGTCAGACAAAATATTAAATTGACCATGTTATGATAGATGCAAGACACACAAAGAGCATTATCCATGTACACTCCTATAGACGTGCCGAATGTAACTCGGTTCACTTTATGGTAAAGCTAAAATACAGGACTGAAATATCAATAGTTAACAGAACCAAAACCAAGTACATGCAAGGTTTTGGCTTTCATACCAATATTCTGTATGCATTCCTCTTCTCTCCAATTTGTACTACATACCCTGTCCATCTCACCCTCCTTGACCTGATCATTCAAATTACTTGTATATTTGTCCAAGAGTGGGAATTTCTTTGCTGCTTTTCTGAAACTTATGAACAAACGGCACAGCCTCTCGAACACTTGTTCCAGTGATCCTAGTTAATCTGGGGGAAAAAAAAAAATAATTACAGTCAACTCTCGATTATCCAGGGGCGGATTAACCAGCTTGCAGCTTAACTGGGGCTACTGAGGCTTTTTTGAGGCTTATATGTTGTTTAATATTCATTCACTTTTGTTTCACATGGTGAGTTGTAACACGATTTTCGCACTAGTGTGAACCAAGCTCTGCATTCTTTGGTCCCTTTATGCTAACACAATGTTCTAGGGTAGGGGTGAAAGAATGCAATGATTTGTGGAAAGTTTCAAGGACAGATACATCGCCCCAGTTAGTTTCTTTGTATCGATCTTCAAGTGCGTTAGCAAAATGTCGGGGTGTAAAAGGAAGCGTGCTGTGTTAAGTATTCAACAGAAAAAGGAAAATGCCAGGAAAAAGTGAACGACAATATTAAATATTTTAAGTGTTAAGTGTGAATATTCATAAAAAGTGTTGGATGTTGTTCAAGACTGTGATTGAAATAAGTAATTCATACTTCAGTGTAATGTAAAAAAAAGTATTAAATAGGCCATGAGATGACATAAAAATGAGGTTGAATAAATTTAAATACAGGTACGCCTATAGTATTATGAAGGTACAGTATTACAGTACTACGATAAATGATACAAACTCCGTCCTAAGTGCAAACAATATACATTTATATGTCTTTGATCTTGCTCTTTCTACACTACATGTTTCGGCCTCTATCGGCCATCATCAGGTGTATACTCTTAACGTTGCTGCCACACTGAACCCAGTCTAAAACTTAACATTTAAAAACACAATGTCACGTTCTTCGTATTATCAACATCTACATCGTTGATATGTGTCTGGTATGTAGATTATGTTGCACACGTCAAACCCGATATTCTTGTAGTAGCACTCTAAAAATCTTTAGTTATGATGTTTTTAAAATCTT